ATATATATATAGAATACGCTCTCATTCTTGATAAAATACGACACAAACGTCACACCGACGGAAGTTGAACGAATGTCATCCGTTTATTTGACAATGTTAGTGATTTAGATGGATGTCCTGCGGTTGATCACCTCGATCTAAGATTCTAAGATTGATTAGCTACGAGATCGGCAGTATGTAAAACTGAACGGGTGAAGATTCGCGTTTTACAAATGAGTGACCCGACTATATCTCCGTCTCCTTTCTTTCTGGGTTACACCAAAAGAAAACGCCTAGCGGACCAGAGACTAGGGACACTTTCAAGGTTTTTGAGAGCGCGGAATCGATGATATCCCTGAGATTGTCCGGTTCATACTATACTGATAACACTTTCGACTGGTATATTGTCGGCTTAGCACTGCGAATTTACGGAGTCATGTAGCTTGATAGTGGCAGTCGACCCCAGTCGATGAACTGACGTTACTCAAATCGAAATTCGGACAGCCGTGTTCAACCTACCAAGGCTTTGGTCCGCGGACAAAGATAGTCCCGTAAAGATAGAAATGAAGTTAAGCGTGAATGCATGTAGGAAGGGCAAGTTAAGTTTGTTAATGCGTCAAGTTGTTCTTACATGTGCCGCAGTGGAGCAGTAACTTTTGAAAACAAACAGAAATTTCAGGGTACATCGAAACACAAAGGTAATGAACGGCCATTCGAGAAACAATCTGAAGGAACAGCAGTCGTCCCCTCCGAGAAAGTCGGAAAAGATGAAACTAGGTATAACTGATAGCCGAACGTCGCATGATACATTGTCAAGCAGCCAGATGCATCGGGCTATTTAGACCAGCCAAAAGACATAACAAAAGCAGATGTGCCAGCTGGTAGTCTGTACTTCTGAAGAATCGACCTAGCTATAAACACAAGGCCGAGTAAATGAGATGAATGAAGCCAGCTGCACAATCAACTAACACCACCAGATGAACGTACAGGCACTCACGTTTGAGTGATTTCAACAAACTGCGCGGAATGTGAGCCGATGTATCTATGCTTATGTGCTCACAAAAGTTTAGATTATAGAAGTAACGCCACAGCGGTACATTTCGCTGCGTGTGAAACAGGATGGTTGGGCAGAATTGTGCGCGTATTTAAGTGAGTAGCAGGAAATGGACTATCGATTATTGCGTGTCTACAGATGGAACAGTCATTAGGGGTGTTGGATATCCGAAAGGTAATATTAAAACCTTTCCAAGTAGAAAACGATGGTAACGAACAGGACGATTCAATCCAGTATCCACAGTTGTCAACAACACAGCGTCCAAGTGGTGATGTGGGGTACGGCATACGTAAATGCGTAATTGGAACTTTTGTATTAGGGCAGAAGACGTCACAAAAGATGCACATAAACCAATTACCAGTGATAAAGAGATGAACACATTCGCATTGGACTCGCTTAGAGAATTCCTCACGGGCGGCTGCCCAGTGTCATTGGGTTGAGCGGTTCCATGAATAGCGATTCGTCTTGGCAGCGGTTCTACGCACCCCGACTAAATTTGTGCTGATATTCGAAGATCAATGACTTTCATATCCGACAACTCTGTGTCAGATATCGCTGGTTTGTTGCCTTGCAGCGATTTGAGCATCATGAGAAAAGCACAGTTGGGTAGCACGACAGGAAACGACGTAATAACCTTGTTTGTATCGACCGAGGTGTACGTCTGGTCTGGTTTGAGGTTAATCAAGGACCGAGATTTAAAGGTACGTACTGTCTAACGTGACAAGCGGCAGGCCTCCGGTGATGATGCAAACGATTAGGTAATCTTCCTGTACATTACAGTGATAGACGGACGACTCACGTGAATTTTTTATGGCAGACAGTGAACCTGAGGCTCTTGAAAGTGAAAGTGGACTGAGAGTCAACGAATAAGGTCTTCAGCGCAAAAAAGATCTGCAGCAGAGTCCTGAAGAGACTGATGTGATCGGGTGGCTGGTAGTCGATATGTGATTTAAGCAACTCGCTTCGAACAGGTCAATCGAAAAAACCACAGCAGTTTAGCACAGCATTGACAAGCTTTGACAGACAATACATCGTGTAATTTAAGCTACCATAAGCTGAAAAGCTGACGCGGACTCAGTAACTGGAAGTTTGGGGTGCGATGACTTTTGTAAATGCAACTGATCACACTGCTAACAACCGTTTAGTTAGCGGTTGGAACATAGTGAGATGCGCATTGCCGATGGCATTCAACAGTGATAAACAGCTGTACAATGTTTCTCGAGGTTCAGCACTGAGTAGCCTCACTCTCAGAACGGAATCTCTGCTATAAAATCTAAAATCCTGGGAGATCCAAATAAGGCCCAGGAATTAAGCGCCTCGCTTGTACATGTGTGAGACACAAACATGGGGTTGATAAAGAGAGGAATGTTGGCAGCTCATGTTGCAATGGTAGCAATGAGTTAGCCTCCGCCATCAGACCAGCATACCAAGATACAGGAACCATTGTGGAAGCAAACAGACAAAAGTCAAGGTGGGGAGGGCGGAGAGGTCAGGTTCAAGACTGCCTGAACAGGGCAACCAACAAGCTAACAGGAAAGGTCATCCAAACGATCAGCGACTGATCATGACCGACCTGGGTTAGTAGACCCCATGAAAATCCACACGTGCGCAACAACCACGCATTTCAACCTCAACACACTGATGTCAATTCGACTGGTGATAAAACATATGCAACCAAGCTGTGAAAAACCTGACTCCCTGATATGAAGGACCTTAAATACTTCCCAATCTGATCACGGGTGCATTCGTAGCACAGCATGAGTTGGTTGGCCGTAGCCGCAACAAGATGGTGCGCAAACGGGTATTTCGTAACGAATTACAATCAACAGAGTAGTTAAAGAAGCTCACCTGTTTACAGTGGTCAGGACAAGTACCACACATGCCTAATTGCCGTCTACCAAAGAATATACTGCTTTTCATTGTACATAGTTGCAGGTGAAAAGTCCAAACAGGGCATACCATGAAGATACCGCAAAATAAAACGGCTACCGTCAAACTTGGTGTGTTGTGACATCTCTGCTCCCTCCTTACTGGGGACGATACAATGCTCCTTACGCGTAACCGGAAGCTTCACAGGTAGGGCATCCAACTGATCCCAGTGGAAAGGCATGCTATCATACTTCTCGTCCGGACTACCTAGTTTGTTTTTGTGTCTTGGAACCATGCTGAATATATTTCAAAAAGGATGCTAGATTGACATTGTGGATAACGTCTTCGTCCGATAAGAGGCATATATGTGGTCATTTAATCCCCGTTTGAAGCACCACCGATTCGTCACCCTACATTTCGCCCCTATATTTTGCTAATAGGTGGGTGGAAATTGGGCGGTAGCGCTTACTGCTGGTGTATCAATAAAGTCGACCATGAAAAAGACGCTGTAGCGCGACTATCTGAAGTGGGCTGATAAGGTGAGTTCAACCTACGGAATTACAAGATGCCAATGAGACCAGATGCTGGCCACATGGGTTCGGGAGCGTCCTAGCTAAAAGGGTGACTGTCTCACTGAAGACTAAATGAACTACACGTACGACATACAGCAACACTCCTAACTGGTAATTCCACTTGAAAAGTAAACACGCCATCTTGGACACCCATTCACAGAGATTTCGCACTGAGAAAAGATAGTCTTAAAGGATTAACGCCTATCGCTTTGAATGAGGCCGTCAGGATATCTATGGTATCTTGCTTGACTCTCCGCAGCTACATCACGTAGCACTGATTGGTAAAAGTTAACCCTGTTCCATCCCATGATATTCCTTGGAGCACAAGTATGCAAGAGAAACACGACGAGCTCGTCTGAAATAGAGCACGCAGCAATATTGGCACGTACGTCAGTAGTCGCTGGCTTAGCATACCAGCACTAGAGGAATAAACGAATGTCGGATCTCACCCAGTACACAGAAAAATCAAGTGCAGTAGTCTAGCAACAGTGTCATTAACCGACTGATGGACAAAAACTCGAAGAACAGATTCGTGAATGCTTGAAGCTTACTGGACTATCATGTAGGGGGACATATTTGCAGTTATTCAAGACGTTTATTTAAAGCCGCTTAGGTCTTCTCAGCTCTTTGATTTCCACAGCGAAACCTATCTGATGATTTTTTTTTCTCGATCTACAGTAGTGGTGACCATTGCCGTGCGGTCAGACTTCAAAGCCAAAGGTGTTTGTAGACAACGCTAAACCGGACTCACGTGCAGTGTTCGGATCCTTAAACTATCATGAAAAGGATATACTACTTAACTACAACAGAACAAAACAATGAATGACTAGGATATATGCACCGTGAGCCCACCACAATCGACCAAGAAGAGCATGAGGACCTAAGTCTTTTGTGGTTACACCACACAAACAAGGGTGATGTGACCGAATCCCCGAAAACTTCAGCCGAATGAATGTTTTCTTCTGAAATGAACATCCTCAAGTCGAAACAGATGGACCCAAGAACGCAATCCTTTGTCAAACTCAACTAACAGAAAAAAGTGCAACTTCCAGGGAAAAGCAGGGCACTTCAGCACATGCCAAAATTAAGGGGTTGCGTATAACACCTTAGTACAGATTCACCAGAAATAGTGAGCAGTGAAAGAGCCACAGTAGTCCGCATTAGGCATCAGATAACCCGAAGGTGGTAAACCTCGAACCTGAATACGGGACGTCGAATAACTAGAGAATGACAGAGAGCTAAGCTCAAGTTTGTACTAGTAAAAGTACCGATTCTCAGTGGCAGATTGAAATGAACGGAAGACAGCGCAATCCAGCAAATCGTCATTGATATTGAAATCAACCCAATCACCACAGAGGCAAACTGTGACTCACTAAAATAGGATCTGCATCCTTTCCAGCCATCCATTCATCGACCGTGAGCGGAGGTGTATCACCAATTGTGTCTGGATAGAGGTCATCCTGGAAGAGTTCGGATTTTCGAGGCACAGTAAATGGAATAACTTCGCAAAGACCCTTGGTATGCAGCTTGTAGAATCGAGCAATTTCACACTGGTTCACGTCCAAACCACGTTTAGGCATCCAGCCCATACCCCGCTGTGGATCTGAACTAGTCAGCATATTGATGAAGTGAACGTAGGGCTCTTCGTCTGTGATTTCGAAATATCGAATGGTGCTATCGCCCTAAAAGAAGAAAGAATTGAGGAATGGACGTAATCACTCGATAAACAGTGTCACCGAAAGTGGGTATTAAACATAGAGGAATCAGTTTTTACTGAAGCTAGCAGGTATGTGAGATTCGACCTGAAAACGAAATTCCTATGGGTACATGGTTCGGTAAAGGAGCTGAAACATTCCAGAACATGACAGCTACTTTCATCATATTTATTGATCCTTGCAACGCAAGATTGTTAAAAAAAAATCCGCTTAGAGCTCTCAGTTTGGAACGAAAGGGGGCTTGCTTACACGGAAAATAGCGAATTCAGTTCCCAGATTCATCTGGAGGAGGAATTTCATGCACCGAAACCAACAGCATCTAATCGCTTAGCCGCAATACCATTTCAATGCTTAGCTTCAGAACAACGTGAAGGAAGCACAAGGGCTTCTCTCCTGTTCACCCACCGGTCCCATTCATTCGGGTTTACGCCGAGCAAAGGGCGTTCAGTTGGTAGCACATGCGACTGCGAGGAAGTGGTTCCGTGGGATGCAATAGGAATGCCAATTAACCATGTGGCCATGCCACCTTCAAAGTAGCTGTGTTATTCCCTAACAAAGGTTGATACGACAGCACCCATAGCTGCTAGCTGTACCAAAAGTAATTGGTCGAAGGCTGATAAGCAGAAAACCAAATGTACTATGTTACACTGCAGTACAATGTGGCCATATTCAGCGGCATTCAGACAAGCCATTATAAACAGCAGCAGAAGGGTAACGACAAGCTTTTAACTTCAAATAGTCAGTTCCATTGAAAGTGGTGGTGGTACTTGGCAGTAAGCGAACAATGTAGAGAAGACTTCACTGAGACTTTTCTCCAAATGTGTTTCATAAACGGCACAAACCAACACCTCAGTTATCATTAATTAACTGACAACAGCCTTGGGAGCGAATGATAGACTTGGAATTGGGCAAATTCGAAGAGACACCATTCATTCGCTCGCAAGTGTCGTAACCGAAGACAGTGAGGAAAGAAATCGGTATGGATTCCACACGTGGCGGGTGGTTCTGTAACCAACAGGTGGGCACCGCGGAATCGATAGTAAACATAAATACGAAAAACCTCGAGACTGGTTCAAGGAGAACTATTTGCCAGGTACATTTTGCATGCAGTACCAAATAAATAATTTACTGCTGACAGGAAAACAAACGGGAGAATACCGACAGAAATTACAGGTAATCATCAAGACATAATTATGATTAGGTCATAAAAACAAAACACTGGGAGACAGTGCTATCCATTTTGGATTTCTATAGCCAACAAGAAAAAAAAACAGAAAAATTGTACAGCTGCCAGTTTAACGCACACTGTGACAAACGATCAATAGTCAGTCACTATTGATGCAGCTGTGGCAGCTGGCTGGTTGGTCAAGGTCGAATATTCATAGACCATGCGCCCAAAACCGATAAAACAGTGGGACTACTTAAAAGTGCACTTCAATCTTTCGGCGATCGGTTGCAAAATTGGGATGAAATTGACATGTTAAAATCAGGGAAAGAATTACACCAAGGGTGTGATTTATAGAACTCTGGAAATCATCACGATTGAAAGTCACGAGCAAAGGCGTACAAAAATACTGATTATTACGGTATGGTGATGCAAGGCGAGCTGATTAGAAAGGTTACTGGAACGTGCTCCGCACGTTCCTCAGGATACCTTCATTGATAGGCGTATTAATTAGGATGTAATTCCCAAGTATGCGACGAAAAAATGGTTCAGTTAATGAAAAATCTCGGAGAATAAAAAACTCGCTTATGTATCCAGAGGGAATTGGTTGGAGTGTGGTCACTTAATTCAACTGAATGTATCAGAGACCCGATAAAACAGTGCGGTGAGAGAACTGGAAAGAATTAAGTGCGATATACTGATATCGTCCACTGAGTGATCAGCACGGGAAAGGAAAACCTGAAAAATTGCAGCCAATAGTTACTTTTAGGACCCTAACACATCCCGAAATTAACTTTAAGACGTACTAGTATTAGCGGGAATATCTCGCTGTCAAATGTGTCGCGGATTAGGGTACTTTATTTCCTCCTTGAACATTTGACATCCAAACGCCGTTTGAATAATTCAAGAAACCCCAGAGCAGGACTGACCAGTCCTTAAGAACCGTGCCAGAAGCCGACCTCTTCAGCTTTATGTTCACACCTAATAAAACTTCAAGCTCAACGAATTCAATTCTCGGGTATAACAGTGAAAAAAGTTTAAACTGACGCACCATTTACCAACCGCCGAGTAGCAAACACATTCCCACATAGGGTAAAGCGCACAAACGGATGTCGGCAAAGCATACTGCAAAAAGCCTGTAGTTAAAAAACAGCTTTCATGGTGTATCAAGTTGTGGACTACGTGCGGTTGAAGCGCAGCTTTCACAGGGAGCACATGAAAGGATCATAGATGGAAGGAAATTACTACGAGGGGGGGCGCCGTATGCGGAACAACTCAACTATGTGCTATGTTGGCAAACCCGTAGAATTTCAGCACGAGATACGAAAATCAAAACCATATATCTAACGACAGAAGTTAGGCCGAACGAGCACATCGAAATTGTGCCTAATTCGGCACAACATAAATATAAGGTGGCTTTGGGATCCAGCAACTTTTCGTCATTAGGAATAACGTTTGGAGAGAGAAGAACAGGAAAAAAGGATTTGAAGCACACCCCATGACATGAGTTCAGGCGTTTTCCTACAGTCAAAGGAACCGATTGGACAGTTAGAAGATGCAATGAGGCGTGCTGGAGGCGAATGGGAATCTCATGTTCCTGCTCCAACTCTGCAATCACGAAGAATCGGTGGGTCACTTTGAAATCACCCTAGAGGAGTGTCTTGCTTGGGCCATTTGCGTTTCATAGTGCGAATTGTCCAAAAGCTTCGGTAGAATTCTTCAAACAACAGGAATTCTTTCTCAAGCGAAAGAACGAGACTAATGTCCTTCTAGAACCCCAAATCTATCTTTTGGAATCAAACAGAAGTCAGGCCCTCTGAAGAGATGGAAAAAGTGGGTGTATTTTCCCAAATGTTCACAGGAGGCACCAGCCTACTGACGACCTACCAGTCAGTTGCAGAGAATTTCAAAGGATTTTAGTGGATCACGGGTTGAGTATATTCTTCGGGCTGGTAAAAATCAAGCGGAAATCTAGAAACTGTCGCATATGGCTAAGATGAAGCTAACGCGTATTTGTAAACCGTACAAAGCAACTTCACTACCCGAGGTCCGATAACGTCCCTGCAATTTCAGTTGATTATACTTTTACACCAACTACCGTGTTTCTGCTTCGTCCTTTATGTTCCAAATTGATTCTTCTTCATATTTGTGGAAGCATTCATGCTGCCTTCCACTGGAAAAAGATGGGTTGGGCGGAGATCTCGATCGCCCAACAGTTGACCGTAATAGTGCAGTCGAAATACATTAAAAAGGCAAATACCCGGTGTTGCTCAAAAAGCGGCTGATGTGCATTAGGAATCACACAGTCATGTTTACCCCCTAAGCCTTTGGGCTGAGCGAGCCCCAACAACCAAGTGGGTCAGATTATTGGTTTATCAACTCCGAGCAGTCTCTCCCAGGAAAGTCATAACATACGGTCATACGGTCACGCCCGTCAGAATTTTTCGGACAGAAGCTAGGAACCGAACCGTACTTTCTCCTATTAACTTGTGGTGTGAATTGGTGAGTCAAAGATTCACGGTGAGATTCGCCTTAGCCAGAAAGCCAGGAAGAAAATACTACTCGTGCGGTGTAAGCACAGCGGATGGCCCCTAAAGTCATAAATTCTAAATACCAATACTACCTTATCTGGTGGCAAACCTATAGCCCTCAACGCACAAAAAATAGAAACCACACATACGCTACTAAAACTAAGGAATTTGCTAATCAAGTTTTTAGTGATACTACTCTTTGTCAGGTAAGTCAACAGATCTTTTTTGCTCATACTCTTTCCACTGACAAATTGGCATAAGGTATGTCTCGAAACCACATGCAAAAAAGGCAGTGCATCTGAAAACCGTACAAAAACAAAGCAGTTACCTCACGCTTTACTATCCAGCCGTCAGAAAATGAGGAACTTGTGCACAACGGTCTCATTGGCGGGGGTATGGTGTTCAGTATGGGGGCTCAAGACGATCAGCTGGACTGGATTCCCAAGAACAGCCTAATTTGGGTAGTCAAACTGGTCGGATTTGTCAAGATCCGCAACTAAAGCCGCAATCTTGACAAATTACAGCAGTGATGCTGACAAAGACACCCTTACGGAGAACGTTTAGGACATTTTCCGATGGCGAAGTGCACGAGTAATGATATTCTACATGGCGATTCGTATGCTCAACTGGCAAGAATCGACAACGATGAAAGTGACCTCGGCGGTGTATTTGGTGAAGGCACTCTAATAAACGACAGCGGTGATCATCCTACAAAACTGTTGACTGATACCATCTATTTCTTAAATACACATGATTTCAGCATAAGGGTGAGCATCGCATTATGCGGGGGCCATCCGAACCTCAACCAGACGAGTATTCAGATTGACCGAAGAGCGATTAGCTGTGAATGGCGAGTTTGAGTTCAAGAATGTCGCCCCTTTCAGAACATGTGTAGTGGGTTATATCCTAACCAGGTTAGTGCTCGTAAAGCAGTCCGCTTTTCCACGATCAAGGTGGAAAACACCAACTCGTTTGACAGGCTTGCCCACAAGACGCAGTTGCCACTTTGTAAGCAGGCGACTTCTATTCAACACACTAACAGAAAACACACAGGTCGACCGAATGAAAACTGGCTCGATACTCGAAACCCCATGCATCCCAATGCAAAGACGTTGCTTAATACAATTAGCGACCCATGTCTCGGAGTTGCGAATTAGGCTATTCAATCAGTCAAATCTGTGAAACCACGCTTGGTTCGCACTCTCAAGACTTATCGACGGAAGGGGGCTAAGTAGAGCCCAAGAAAGAGAGCAGCTGGTGGTGATTCCAAA